CTGAATTAATATTAGGATTCTCGGATGTAGACATAACTCCATACTCTGAACAGAAGGTTGCAATACACATACTATCAAATGGTTTACCTTTAGGTCTAGCTAAATAACGATCAACTATTGAAGTCATAAACAAATTATAGTCAGACAATGTTCCATCTTTAGCTCTACTTTGTAAAACTTTGAGTGGAAGAGTAACTCTAATATTATTTCTACCTGTAGGTATAAACTGAACTTTTCTAGAACACTGTTTCAAAGGTAAGCCTAAAACTCTTACAGCACTTTCAGGTCCACTTACTTCCCGTGAATGCAAATAAGTTGTGGAAATCTTCCTCATACAAGCTTTAGCATCCAAATTATTTTGTTTAGCTTCTTTAAATATTTCACGTAATAACATACCCATTTCTCTTTCGGCTTTAGTAATATATGAAACAATGTAAATTACACATGCATAAGCATCTGTTACATACTGTATATCTAGGTTTGCATTCCAAGCTCTTAACATGGAAGGATTATATTGATTGATCCAACTTGCATTGACACCTCTCTTTAATACTATATATGTCTTTTTTGTTAGTTTCTCGCATGCTTGTTTAAACATTTCCTGATTAATACCTAATTCATTATACAAATTTGACAATGAGTCATATTGTTTGTCTTCACATGATAATTCTTTCCAAATAGATTCTAAAATAGATTTAGCTTGATCTGCAGTTAAAGTATTTTGATTGTCTCTGATTTTCTCATTACTTTCAGTATTTTCATTTTGTTCAGTAAGATTCTCAGTTTCTAAAGGTCGGCATATAAATGTTTTATCTGAAGGTGGTTTGGGGAAATTAAATCTACATACTTATTCTTTCTACAAGATTTAGAATGGTTCTTACTGTGTTTTTGAACATTAGACATTATTTCATTTAATTCAGAGTCTGTTTTCTCATCTGGTAATTCACATGAAATATATTTATCAATAAATTCTACAACCTCTTCATCACTATCAACATTAAGTTTAGGAGCTTGGTCTATATAAATTATCATATGTACCACATTTCTTAAGAATAATTTAAATCTTTGATCAAAAAGTCTGGCAACTGTTACTGGATTAGATCTTAACAATTCACGTTTTTGTAGCCAATTTAAGTCACTTACTTTTGTTTTGGAACCTTGTTGTAACAATATTGTTTCTAAAAACGATTCAAATCTTAGTTCACTGCAGCTAAATGAAACAAAAAAAGTAGGAGTACCAAGTTGTCTTAACATAGCAAAAAGATCTTTCTGAATAGCTTGCCAGTATGCTGGACTTCCACGACAATTTTTCATAAAGGTATAACCAGCATCAGATTTGAGAATATTTTGAATTTCGGGGAAGGGAGGGTTTGATTCTCCCAAATGTACAGGCCTAGGGTGGAGCAGACACTTTATTTAGAAATTAGGATTAAGGGTCTTGATATTGGGTTTTCTTCTGTTCTTATTCTGATCTGAAATTAGAAAAAGTAACTCGCCCGATGGGCGAGAAGTATAGTATCTGTTATATACTGATTGTTTTTAGTTTACTATGAACAATATTATCATTTAAGTTCTTATTTTTTGAATATGCAACTATCATTTTCTGCTTATAGACATGGGGGAATTTCTCTTGAAGGCTCTTATAGTAGGCATGAACTATCTTGCTTGCTCGATTGCTGGTTGTATTAAACGGGACAACAAAGAGTGCTATGCCTACATTATGATGAATATTTAGTCCTATAGGTCTTGCTGTATTTAATGTCTCAATCCAATGGGCCTCCCTAGATTGACGGAATTTGGTAGTTTCATCTTCGGGCAAGTCAATTTCTATACGCTCAATTGGGATTAGGGTGAGATCGTCTATTGAATGGTCGTCGAGGTTGAAATGATTAGAAACAGGCTTGTCTTTCTTTAATTTGATGTCTGACCTATGAGCATTAAAGCGAGTACGTAAATTATTCTTAGTTTCTCCTACATATTGTTTGGGGCATTTCTTGCATGAAATTAAATATATTACATTCGAATGTTCACATGTTAGATGTTCCTGGATCGGGTACCTTTTATTCGTAGAGTTTCTTACAAAGTAATGAGTTTCTGATATAAAGGGACATGTTTTGCATCAACTGGACAAACACGGAGCACTTCTTAAACCTGGAGGTACTTCGGCATAAAGTCTGTTTTTAGCTGCTATCTGTGCTAAGGTGGAATTTTTTATGTTTCGTAAAAATCGTTTAGAGTACCCACGCTCTTTCAGTTTTGAGAAAACAATCGTACAGGCTTGGTTGAAATCGGAAGATCTGTACAAATTCGATGAAATCGATAAACTTGTGACTTAATTATACCAGAAAAGGGTTTTGGGTGAAAGGAGCTCTTGTGCAAGAGTTGATGAGTATCAGTTTCTTTGAAATACACTTTAATATCCAGTTTATTTGTTTCTGCTATGGAATCTCCCTTAAAGACTGTGGTATCGAGAAAGTCTATGCTTTTGTCACTCACGTTTGCGGTTAGTTTGATAGAAGGATGGTGGTTGTTGAGAATTTCAAAGAATTCCCAAAACTGTTCGATAGAATAAGTCCAAACCATAAAGATGTCATCCAAAAAGCGTCCGTAAAAAAGTGGGTCAAATGGACAGAGGGGCAACACCTCACGTTCCCACTCTGCCATGAAAAGGTTTGCGTACGAAGGGGCAAATCGTTTGCCCATTGCTGTCCCTGAAGTTTGTAAATATGTTTTACCATTAAATGTGAAATCGTTTCGACTAAGACAAATCTCTAAAAGCTGTAGAATTGCATCGTAGGGTCTGTTTGGATCTGGGTTTCTATTAAAAGCTTTACGAACTGCCGTTAAACCAGTAGTGTTATCGATATTGGTATACATAGAAGAAACGTCGATAGAAATTAAAATAGCATTAGAGGGA